GACAGTTTCGGGCTTCTTTGTTGTTGCTACAATTTGGACTTGATAATGAGTCTTTTTAGATCTTAGGCTCCTATGAAAGTTGTAGGCCTATGTCTTACCTTTCCATCCATATAAAGTGGACCGAGATCTGAGATCTACAGCTCTAGATATGATCCAATTACCGAATAGTGTTCCGGTTTGGACTGCACTGACATCTCTTTTCGGGGTTTAGTCATCTCTTTGTCCTTTCAATTTCAGTTCTTAAATTCATCAATCAATCCTTTCATTTATGTGATAGACCTACATTTAAAATAAACATTTACCACAAATTAAAGGTATCTTATATTATTAGATACGTTATTATAAAACATGCTTTAGTTAAGGAGTTATTGATACTTCAAGTGCAAAATGATGATATAAAACCTTAATAAAAATGCACTTTTAAGTACTAATCAGCATACCTTAAGTAACTTATAATATGTAATATGTCATGTGTGAAACTAGAAATATCATGGTGAGTTTATAATATAATTATTATGAAATTATGAAAAAGATCATAAGATTATAACGAGTAATGAACAATTAAAAAAATGTTAAAATTGATTAATGGTATACTTGAAATCACTTGTGTGATGATGTTATTGGAATTTTGTGATGTGTTTTACACATAAAAATAAAGGACAAAATTTGAAAATAATTTTTATATAAAAAAAACTTAGCTAAAATTTTATTAAATTAGAAAAATTTCCATTTAAAAAATAATAAGTCAATGTAAAATGTATGCCTTAAATCTTTTAGAAAAAAGTTTAAAAAAATAATGTGAATTATAATAACATAAGTTATATAAAAGTAAATGAAACAATGATTTATTGTGACGAACACAACGGACTATGAGAGATTGAACTAAAAAAATAATTACATAAAAAGCCTAAATGAAAAAATATGTGCTAAGGGAAATTGGTTGCATGAATGAAATGAAAATATATGAAAATGCTGAAACAAAAATAATATATACTAAGAGAAAATAAATGCTTATATGAAATGATTAATAGGTGAAAAACAAGAATAAGTAAGAATGAGTAAGAATAACTTGAGTGTATGGTTAGAATAAAATGAAAGTTAGGAACTAAAAAGGAATAAGAATATTTTTGTGAAACGAAATACACCATAAATTAAAAGTATTGTGAAATGAAACAATGATACAAATCAGAGGTGATTATGTAATAAAATATACTATGGACCAAAGGTGTTGGTGAGATATATACAATCATACAAATTATGGGTGTTTGAGGAAATAGATTGTAGTATAAATCAAAGGTGTTGTGAACAAGAGTTGCTATAATATGACCATGATAGTTTAATGTGTACAAGAGTGAATAGACACTTCATCAAAAAATAATAAAATATATTAAAATAGAATCTAACACAAATTGATTAACTTACAAAAGTTGGAGAAATTGGTTTTGCACACAAATATTTATTATGAGTTTCATGATTTTATATGTGTTACAAGTATTTTCCTTAAAAGATCATAACTCCTCATGCAATGTTATCAAGCTACTTAGTTTTTCATATTAAAAAATTCTACTATTGTCCGACATATGTTTTGTAAATAAATATAATGTGAATAAATTGAAAAATATTGTATCCACATAAACATGTAAATATTTATTAATGAAATGGTTAGATGATGAGTTTTAAGGTAGTTCTCATGGTTTATATATATATAAAAACAAATTATCTCTAAATTTACTTAAACAAAAATTAAAAAGATAATAGATGCATTAAAAGGATATGGTGTTATAAATGATCTGCAGAAAAAGAATGTTTACCATAAAAGAAAAATGATAAATTAAATTCTAAAATAACTCAATTTTAAAAGATGAAATGAAAAAAATAAAAAAATAAAATAAAATAAAGTGTCTTGAATCAACTCGAATTAGCATAATAAACTCATAATTCGGATTGTGAGGCATAACCAAACTCATTAAAAGCAAATTAAAAAAATATTAATGATGGCCTATTCCCAACAATCCAAATGTAAAAAGATGTCATAAAAAAATCAATCAATAAAAAGAACTCTTATAAAAGTAAAATAATTGCAAACTCAAGTAAGCCATCAAATTTCATAAGCTGAATCATGTGAAATGGGATAACTCAATAGAAGGTAAAATGAAAAAAAAATGACAAAGTTAATTTTAAAAAGAACTCAATTTTGAAAGGCAAAATAAAAAAAATATATAAAAAATGATAAAAAAAAACTTAGGTTAACCGACTAATTTTATTTTCTAAGTCATGAGATCATGATAATTTGATGGAAAAAAAAATCACAAAACCCTTTTTTTAATAAAAAGTTGAATGATAAAATTAAAAAAAAATAAGTGCAAAAAAATAATGTCAATCTTTGTTAATTTTTTTAAACTCGTGACTTGAGTCATTAGATTTAAAGCATCCCATCTAAAAATCATGAATCTCAATTCCTAACTATACAAAACTCAATTCCTAACCAATAAAATGTTCAAGAATAAAATTTAAAAAAAATTAATTATACAAAAAGATCTAAAATATAAAAATAGTAATCTAAAGAATGAGAACCAAATTTCAATTAAAAAAATAAATGAAAGGAAAAATTACAATTTTGAATTAAAATGGAAAATTAGAAAGAAAATCAAATTCACAAAAGGATCTAAAACAAAAAATAACAATAAAAAGAATGAAGATCAAATTTGAAAAAAAATAATAAGAAATTACAATTATAGATTCAATGATAAAATTGAAAACAAATAGAAAAAATAACCAAGAAGAAAATTAAAATAACAAAAAATAAAAACCAAAGTTGAAATATGAATAAATAAGAAAACAATTCTAAAATCTTGAATGACTATTGTGAATTTCAAAGTTAGCGACAAACCATCATATAAACAATAACAAGTGTTGCTCCACACAAAAGGAGACACCTTTATGCTTCCAACATTATAGTACAAGTTGGTGTTTAGATGTCGCGAGACTATATTATTGCCTCTAGAAGATGGCATATATGTTTCATTTGTTGACATGTACATTATACTTGTATATTTATTGAATTTTAAATTTTAAATTTTTAATATTTAATTTTTTTAAAATTAATTAAATTTTATTTTATTTTATAAAACCTAACATCAATTGAGTTCTGAAAACTTCACTTGATTTTGCAAGATCTTTGTATTAAAGTAACAAAAATAAACTACTAAGACAAATCACAAATAAAGTCAATTTGAAAGAATCAAAATATAAATAAGAATTTGATGGATTAAAAAAATTACCTTGAATATACAATTCAGTCCCTGATTTGATAAAAATAATGTACTGAAAATTTTTTTAAACTTCAAATCCAATCCCTAAAACTCTGATTATTGTAAATCAATTCATTTGAATTTTCTTTCGCAGAACCGGGAATTAACCGAGCAACATTTCCTCGACACCTGGAAATCTTCATAAGCACACATTAAAATAAATTATTAAGACTAATCATAAATAAAATCAATTTTTAAGGATCAAATTAGAAGATGAAGAAACTGAGAGATCAAAAAGTAAAAAATTCCAGGAACCAAAAAAGAGAAGAAGAATCAATGTATAAATCCACGGTGATTCTCCTCCGAGTGTACAATGAAACACCAAGGGGTATTAGTTTTTCATTTCTAATATATAACCTATCGAATCGAATTCTTTAAGCTCTATTTACTGTAAATAACCGATACAAAATTGCTAGAGCTTTTTATATCATCTCATTAAATTATTTATTTAATACGTAAATATCTGCACTATAGATTTAATTAGGCTTACACCTTTTTGTCCAGGTGTTAACTGCTAAACGAAGTTCTTAATCAACGATACCGCTGTAAAAAATTATTAATTTATGATACATATGAACAAAAAAATATAAAAAAAAAAAAAGAAGAAGAAAGAAGAAGGAGAAGAATAATTAGAATTCCCTTGATCTGCTGAAGAAGGAGAATAATAATTAGAATTCCCTTGATCTGCTGAATGCAGTAGCAGGTCTTAACAAACTGATCTCAGTTTCCCGCCAACTGACAGACCGAGATATCCCGTAGTGGGACACGTGTCAATCACCCACAAGCTATTTTCCTACAGCCGCTGGCGTTTTGACAGCTCAGCACTCGCATTTTAACAGCCACCTTACCTGGCAACTCCTTCGACATGCCTGCTCGGCATTGCCTAAATAATTTCTAATTTTGCTGTATAAATTAAAGGCTTGGGCAGTCTGTCTCTTTTGACCACAAATTCAGGTCAAAATTTATTATTATTTATGTTTTTTCGGTCATCGTTTCAGGCTGTTCATTTAATTAACCAGAGGTAGCTGGCTGGAAGTGAAATCTTCAAAAAAAGGCAAAATGAGCCCAACGAATCATCAAGCGAAGACCAGCCATATGTACCCACCACCAACCTTGAAAGTTAACAAGGACTCTCACATGATCAAGAAATCTTCGCCGCCGTCGTCTTCGTCGTCGTCATCTTCATCCTCAGCATCTTCTTCGCTCGGCATTGTAGGTCCTGTCAAACCCCCACACAGCCATCCAGTGATCATTTATACTCACTCGCCCAAGATCATCCACACAAATCCTAAAGATTTTATGGCACTGGTGCAGAAACTAACGGGTTTGTCGCGATCCGAGGATGATACCGCCCCTCAAGTAAAGCGAGAAAATGGTGGTCGTAGGGAGGAAAATAAGAGGAAGGTGAAGATTAATGATGGTAATGAAGGAGGCTTATGGGATGGACAAGTTCAATATTCTTGTTTTATGCAACCTCTTTTCCAGCCACCAAATCTTAGTTACATTCCAGTTTTTGCATCCAATTCAGCTGGATTTCTATGCGCAAACCAGCCAGTTTATAACCACACCGATCCTTTGTATTTCACTTCTCCAAATAGGAGGAATTCCATCGCCACAAAGTCCACCTTGGAGGTGAAGAATGAGTTCTGCGGGTATTAATTTTTTTTTTTTGGTTGTTTCTTCTGATTTTGGTGAGGAATGGTGTTTTCTTGCTTTGTTCCTTAATTAGATGAGATTTGTTACTGTTGATGATATTTAATCGGTTACTTTACAAGCATCAAAAAGGAAAAGTGCTGTTTATAAGGTAATCAAACTCTATTTATTTGTGTTCATACATCCATGCAAAAGCGTGAAGAAAATGATATCTCCATATTTGATCAATCGCCAAAAAAAAAAAAAAAAGTGGTTAAGGACCGCTAAGATAATGATATGATGATGATGACAACTCCATTAGGATAAGCAACTGGGATTCCATAAATTTTAAAGCATGCCATTTCAAATTACAGTTGCAGAACAGAGTTTTGTTCCCGTTTCAAATCCCGATTTTGAAGCCAGATGTTTTGTTCTGCTCCTTTCAAATTCAGATTTTAAGTTTGGAGATTACTTTTTAAAAAAAAATTATTTAAAAATATGTTAAAATCTAAAAAAAAATAAGTTCAAAACATATTAAAAATTTACAAAAATAATTTTTTGATAAAAAACAAACACGACGTGACATTTTCTTTCTGAGTTCTAGTCAGCTAAGCTAAGCTTAAAGTGTCCCTTTACACCAACCCAGCCCAATTTCGAAACTCTTACTTTACAACCAATTGGATCATTAGGCTATCATCTTGGAACCCTAATGGAGGAAAATTGTTTGTTAATACTTTTAAAGTATCAAGAATTCCCTTTTATTAAATATTTTGCTAATAACCCTGTTCCGGGTATAGATAGCTCTTTCACGGAATTGAAAGACCTTTTTTTTTTCTTTCCTGATTACGATTGCTCTTCCCTGGTTGAGATTTACACCCGTACAGATGGTTCTGTGGAAACATAAATGTATATGTACATATATATACTGGTACATGTATAAAGACGACACATTTACTTCTTCTTCTTGTCCTCCTCTCTTTCAAGAACTACAGGAGCCGCCGGGATGCTGAACCACCACTCTCTTAATCTCCTTGTCCATCTTTCTGTGCTTGCTGTCCTTGGAGGAGAATATCTTGTAAATGTCTCTAAGAAGGTCAACAGAATAATGTACTTGCTAGGCATGAAAGCCAGGATCAAAGCAACGCCCAGGAGAGTGAACGCAAACTTCTCGCTTGCCTGTTAATTACAGAAACACCCAAAAGCAGCATGCACTTGAGTGATTTTAAGTCTAATTTGGATAGAACATGAAGAAATGAAGGGTAATTTGTACTCATGATTCACTTGTGTGTGATTTATGATATACAAAGAGGATAAAAATAAGAAAAGCGAAGACATGCTATCCAGCTAGGAGAATGACATAGGGAAACCTGTGGGTAAATGGACAACAGCAGGCCACGAAACTTGAGGAGGACGATGTTTCCATCTTGGATGAACTGTTCAGCTTGAGAAATAGCGTCCTGGACAGCTAAAAGCTGCTCCACTGTGTTCATTGGTGGAGGTGCTGTTACCTTGATCTCATCAACAGGCCTTCCTTGGTTACAAAATCGTGTGAGCACCATAAAGATAGCAAGAAAGATGATCATTAATCCAAAGGTATAGCCCAGCCATCCCCTAAAATGCAGATCCAGTAAGTCCTTGTTAAAGAAAAAGCTATCTTTCTAATACAGTACAGAAATCTAACTAAGATGAGAGGCTTTTTTTTTTTTTTTTTTGACATTGAAGAGAGAATGTGCTCTCTTATAAGGTTACACAGACTAGCACATACTCGCCATATATAGTACATTGATACTACAAGATATACAGTCATATGCACAAAGTTCAGGTAAACTAAACTTGTTTGGGGGACCAGGCTGATTGACTGACTAGTATCCTAAAATAGGTGATAAATCATCCAAGCATCCTCTTTTACAGCTAACTGAGAGGATTCAAAACAACAGAAAAGAAGGGTTATACCATGCATACAATCATCAATAATCCCAATCTAATAGAACCATTTTTTGTTGGAAAAGGTTACTCAAACATAAAAAGCAAATGAAAAAACCATAATTGGATTTGAAGTGCATAGGGGAGACAAACATGGGACTGGCTAGATTACTTGATTCTAGGTAATCCTGCAAGGAATTCAACCACATACAGCATCTTGCTCGGATACCTTTGATCATCTAAAGAGAGCTTTTCCTTGAAATTAATATCTCAAATGCACCCTTCATAACAGCTACATACAACCGGCAGTTTCCATTCATGTTCAATCCTTTAGCCATTTACATAAACTACCACAAAAGTGTTGACAAACAAAACCCCACTATTAATAGGATAACTTAATGATTTGTGTCATTATAGTATCTAAATAATCATACATTTTTACTCAAGTTCAACAGTAATCAATAATGTAACAAGTGTCTTACCTCCAAATGACATAAGTAAGAACCAAACAGAACACCAAAGACTTCATGGGGTCATCCCAGTGTATCAAGGAAATAAGCCACCTCCCAACTTCCATAACAGGGAGAAGTAACTCCTGCAAACACCAGATGTTTGTTTACAAGGAATATAAGAAGGATTATTGAAGGTACAACCTGAAAGAGATTAAGAAAATGGCCAGTTGTCAGCTATAAAACTCACTATCTCATAAGGAACTCTATTTCAAATAATGTGAACAGCATAAATAATTCAGACACAAAAATGACATTGCTAATTCGACTAAGACAGACAGTGATCATTTAAAATTCTTAGCCTTGTCACCAAACAGATACTCTCCATTTCCAGTCATTCTAATATTTTAATGATGGAAAAGAAAAAAGGCAGATAGAAACTAGAGGACAAAGTGTGCTTGGTAAAACTGAAACTCATAGTGACATATTAGTATCACCTTCATTACTGCCAAATTGGTGTCAATACCATCTACTTTAACTCCATCAACTGTTTCTTGTGCCAGCACTGCTTTTTTGAAGCTGCTTTGCGATTCCTTAACCACCTTCTCCAGTGAACTCATCTCTCCCACAGCTGTCTCACCAACAAGAAGCCCAACCTCATTCAGATCAGTTGAGCTTGTTCCTAGCATGAACCCTAAATTGGAAACCATCACCCTTGCAGAGATTGAATGCATCCCACCTCCAGTCTTGTCACTGGTAGTTCGATCTAATTTTCTCAAGGATGATATGCTTGCCAGGGTTTCCAGTATCAAATCGCCACCAGGAAGTTGATCACAAAGATTAAACATGAGAAGTGTGTCACAGTGAACAGAGTTTACAGAAATAATTTCTTGAATTGCTTGAAGTCGCAGAATTCCAAGTACAGCTAATGAAAGTGCTTTATCCCTTTCAACTCCAGAGATCTTGAACTTTTTTATAAATCTGTGAACAAATAAAATTTCCCGGATAACTGCCAACCAGTAATCACGACGAGTATGGCCTTTAAGCTCCGGAAACTCTATCACAGCTGGCTCTGATCTGTGAGAGAAATGCTAAGAGGTTAATGCTAATAAAGGTCTCAAAGCAGCTAATGTGACAAGTGCCAGATTCTAGCATATATAACTCTGGAACATATATTTGATCAATGGAAAGCAAAACAAATACAAATCATGCCTTACAAGGAAATAGATTTATACAAGACTGCTTTGTCAAAAAGCCGTGTACCCCATGGTCCAGTCAACTCAGGATTAACAATCTGTTTTAGGTCATCTGCCAAATCATATGTTTTTGGCTTGTCATAGGATACAACACGGAGAGCTTCATAGTACAGTGCATGATCTGTGAGAGTTACCCGACCTGTATGCACATGACAGTAGCAGAAATTAGAAAAATATTGCACAGCATATAGTGATCAAAAGTGAAGGGAAATTTCACCATCTGCATATATCGAAACATCTTTAGAATGCATGTATGCACTTGCCTTTTCCTTTTCCAGAGAGAAGGGAACAAATAAGATGAATTTATCAAAATACTTATCCAATGAATCTACCTGGCCATGTCGATATTCCAACATGTTCAAGAACTGGTTGGGTCGTCACTGTTCCATCTACTTCCAGAATCTTCTCCCTTCTTGACAATCGCACTGTAGAAAGGAGTGATGAATCTGTTTGGGTCTTCATCTTTTTTATTGCCCTGTACAGAAGATGAACCCAAAATATAAACACTGGATGTATCTGCCTACACAGCATAACATATAGATGTAAAAAACTATAGTTCTGCTGAATATAAATTGCCACAGTAAGTTACACAATCTTCATACAACATATTATATCATTTACAATCAGGTAAGTTTTAAAGAGAACATCATGCGGGTTGTCAAAATAAAAGCAAAACCACTGTACAGCAATTTCTCAATAAAGCATCCTCCAAGGTCAAAAGTTTCAGTCAGCTTTCATGGTGACAACTAACATGTTCCAAGCTGATATAGCCTAGAGATTAATAGGGTTAGGAGGATAAAAAAACTAAGGAAAGGAAAGAAAAACCAGTGACTTGAAACAAGTCTGATATTTGCTAGCCAATCTAGCTTTGTGTTTCACCTTGTGGAAATGGATGGGTGTGACCTTCCATAAGTTTTATAGATAGGATTGTGAGTTAGATTGTGTACTTTCTTGATAGTCAACATCATCGCTTTGTGATGTATTTTGATGAATTGTCTCTTCCCGTGTGTGTGGAGGTGTGTGTTACAGAAGAAGTGGAGCACTTAAGTAGTAATGTACAATAGGAAAATGCGGAGATTTGGAGCAGCACTCAAAGGTTTGGCTTAACAAAATGACTTAAGAATATGACAAATAATAAGCACATGAAAAAACTAAGTTTAGGGGAGAAAGCAGACATAAAATAGCAAAAAAAAAAAAGCATATCTAAACAAGCCTAAAAGGTAAAGATCTTAATAAAAATAGAGAGAAAAAAGTGTTGCAGCGTTTGCTGGTTGGGCAACTAGGCCCTAAAATGAAAGTGAATCATACTGCATGACAAACTAAAAGCAATCAATGGATATTGTTGGAAGCGGTGTACTGCACATCCCATCAGTTAAGTAACAGAAGAGTTGTTACCTTTCTAGTCCACTAAGGTACTTTTCATAGATGGAGAATTGAAGCCGACCATCGGTTCCCACAGTAAGCACTTCAAAAAGATTTTCACTGATAATCACATTGGCAATGATTGGAACTGCTGGAGCTATTCGAGAGAAGGCCTCTAGACCAACTGTTAAGTCCTCATCTACCTGAAAGGAAAAGACATCCATAGATGCCCACATCAACAGTATGGCGCATATAATTACTAAGGGCACTGGAATTTCAAAACTTTTCTACATAAAATTGTTCTGTATTAGCCAGAAAATTAAGGACAGTAACAAATGCATATATTAGCCAAACACCCATGGACAAACACAGACCTAGATGCATATGCATGAGCTGAGAGAGAGGGAAGAGGGAGGGAGAGTGAGAAAGATAACATGATTATTTACATAATTATGAAAGTAACCTTCCAAATAGTTTGGAATACTACATGACAGTTCTGAAAGAAATCAAGAAGTAAGAAGACTTGCCAATACTAATCAATGGGCTCAATAATGTGGCACTCTAGAAGAACTTTTAATTTAAGATGATTTAGTAGTTTATGTAGCATATTGTCTGCCTTCAATAACAGTGTCACTCCCACACACACAAAGACTAAGATTATGGGCCACCACTCTACGATTTTATTGTCATGGCTATATTCAAGTGTATGTTTGAACTTCAGCATCAGATTCCTCTAATCCTTCTACAAAATCTGTGCATGAAGGTTGCAAGCGTGAATCTCCATGGCACACTCACAAGAAACAGCTTCATTATTTAAAAAAAAAAGCTTGCTGTTCTTGTGGACAACAAGATACATGCTTAAAATGAATAAGGTCAGTGTAATTAAGTATAAAATCATACATGGAGCAATGGTTGGCTAGCAACTCCTGGAGTCTCCCAAGCTAGCATCATATCATATGTTAACCGCTGGAACTTTTTATCAGCTAGATGACCGGTTACTTGAGTAGATAAAGCCAGTGCTCTGAAGCAACAGTATTCCAAGAAGTTTCTCGCATAACAGGAATGATGCTTTAATGAATCAGAAGCCTCTGCATTGAAGCTTTCTTGAAGTTCACTTGCAGAAACGCCAAGGATTCTGCATCATATTATTGCCCTTGTCCATAAGGAGATAACAATTGGAGTAGAAAGTAATTGCATATACTCAGAGTTAGTAATCAGACTAAGTGAAAAGGGAACACTAGCCTACAAGATAGTCCATACAGAAAGTTCTAATATTAACTGAATCATAATTTGCACAGAAATTACAGCAAGTGGAAAGACAAGCATGGAACACAAAAAGAGCAGTGCAACGTACTTTGAGCATCTGCGAACAACCAGATTAGCAAGGGGGGAGAGCTCAGCTATCCAATTCCTGCCAGCTGATGGAGATCTTTCCATCTCCTCGAGTTCTTCATTAAAAGAACTTCTCTTGCCAAGTAGCCATTTAAATGATCCTTCTCTTACTAAACCCTCAAGCATACTTCTCGTTTTGCTTACAGTAGGTGTAGCCATCTCCAATTTTCACCTCACTATTTGATCAAAGTGAAAACTTAGCCAGTGTCCGGTTGCCCATCAAAATCAATTCATCCAATTCAGCACATATACCTATTGAAGATAAAAAGCCTCGGCAAAACTACATCATACGTATTCAACTCTATCCAAATCCAGTTTCCGAAACACAAATTCACCAGCTGCGCAATTCTAGTCTGAAAACCTTGTCAAAAACCCAACACAGACTATTATCTCCAAAACCCAGACACCAAATTCACCAACAACCGAAACCAAAAATCCTTCTCCACATAATCACCAGACGACAGATCATACTAATAACTAAACTCAAAATCTCATCTTTAACAAGAGATTCTATCAATTCTCATAACACTTGTACTAAGAAGGAACTACCACAATCTTTATCTCAATAAAATCAAGAACAACAATACAAAGCCAAAAGTGTACCTTGAAAACCAAAATTCTCTGAATATCGGCAAGAGTTCCCGAACCCCACCTCAGATTAAGCTCAAAGAGCCATTCTACAAGAACCCATTTAGCCAAAAAATGCAAACTTTTCCCAGAATTAAATTCAACCAAAAAAAAAAAGCAAAGAAGATACGCACCTCCTAGCTCTACACAAAGAGGTTCATTGCTAGAGATGATTCCATCTTAATTTTTTTTTTTAAAAAAAAAAAGCAAAAAGGACAAAATGCTCTGTAAATGAGAGTGGGAACTGTGATGAGAAGAGCCGCGATCAAGACACTTAAGATAGATTAGATACTTAAGATACGATACTTAGATAAGATACTTAACACAATAGTATACGATGGTGTTTGATTACGCGGATACAGTTATGTTTTAATTAAAATATAATTTATAATTATTTAATTAAAAAAAATTAATTTATTATACATAGATTTTACATAATTTTTACAATTAAAATATAGTTAATAAAAATCAGATAAATACTACTTTTTTCATTCACTATATATATTAATTTGCATGTTTAGTGAATAGTGCAATTAACATGAACAGTGCAATTCACTACAATATTCATATAGGTGCTTTTTTTTTTATTTTAATTTTATTAATGTTTTTTTAAGTGTTAATTTTTTTAATATTTTTTAATTTTTTTAATGTTTTTTAAGTGTTAATTTTATTAATATTTTTTAATTTCATTAATGTTTTTTTAAATGTTAATTTTATTAAGATTTTTTTATTAATATTTTTTAATTTTATTAATATTTTTTTAAGTGTTAATTTTATTAATATTTTTATTAATAGTTTTTAATTTTATTAATATTTTTTAAGTGTTAATTTTATTAATATTTTTTTATTAATATTTTTTAATTTTATTAATATTTTTTAATTTTATTAATATTTTTTAATTTTATTAATATTTTTTAATTTTATTAATATTTTTTAATTTTATTAATATTTTTTAATTTTATTAATATTTTTTAATTTTATTAATATTTTTTAAGTGTTAAT